CTACAAACATATTAACGCCAAACATTCGGTAGAATTTATAGAATATTGTAAAAATATATATATATATATATATATATATATATATATATATATATTATAATATATATTTATTTAATATATAATATACATAATATATACATATATATATAATATATTAAATAAATATATATTATATATATATATATATATATATAGAGAGAGAGAGAGAGATAGAGATTGAGTCAGAAAAGCAGAAATAATTGATGTTCCAGTGTAGTCAATACGTCTGGTACACATCCAATTTATTGTAGGCTTGACAGCTAGGATCCTCGATTTAAGGTAATTTTTTAGCAAAAAATTGTATTAAATTATTTGCAAAATATTTGAAATAGTATTTAAAAAAATTATTTGAAAAATTCAATTGCATAGCATCAATCAAATATTGAAAATATTTTCTTGACTGATTTAAATCAACAAAAGAGACGTTTGAAAACGATTAATTTTATTTATATTTAAAAATTTGATCATATCTCTGAAATTAATGATTTAAAACATACGCAGACGATATAGATTCATTACTTTTAGTTGATGCATGAAGCTTGTTTACCATTCATTTTTTCATTTTTCAGCAATGGGTCCTAAGACATTTTGGCTTATCTGTCTGAGCATGTTGCTGCTCATTTCCAACTACGGTATCATTGTTTTCAATCTTTTGATAATTTTCTCATTCAATTATTTAATTGACCTCACTTTAGTTTTAATTGATAATGTATTAAATTCAACTAAAAAAAGCTTATTTAAAAAAGTTAGTAATTATAATTTACGGTAAAAAATATAACAATATGCTAATTTATTTTATGGACTAGTTAATTTTTATTTTATTTTAACTTACCGCAGTGATTGACTCCTCTCCAAGTTTGGAGTTGAAATTTCGCCTTGATCAACAAAATCTCTTCGAGGAACTATCTGCAAACATTGAAGATCAGCAGCCTGTCCTCCAGGATAAGATCAACATCGACAACCAACTGATGTCATTTCTGGATTACAAAACACAAAAGCTAGAAGAGCACAAACAATTTTTGGAAAGTGTGGATCCAAGTGCACTCGGCAGTAGTAATATTCAGTTAGAGCCAGCTAAACAATTCATTGATGGAGCGTTGAAACTTCTGGAGAATGCAAAACAGACGTTGACAGACGATGTGGCGTTCAGCGAGGCATGGTATGAAGTAAACAAGGAAATAATTTCTTACATGAAGAATAGCGCCGAAATGCTTTCCAATGAGATCTCCGCGGCCAACCAGTTCAAATAACTTTCTATCATCTACTAAATCCTGATGAGGACGATTGTAAATGCAAATTTTTGGCGAAGGTCATCTAATTTTGATTTTAAAAAAATAATTGGTTAAAAACTCAATTTGTTTCAATTAAAAATTTTGTAAAACACTTTTGAAATAGTCTATATAACTGCCAAAAAATCTCTTAGTTTTCATTGCTTTATTGCAAGCCAGATAAAAAAAAACCGTAATACGTTAAAAAAAGATACATTGAAAAGTTTATTATCTTTTTACTTAGAATTTAGATGGTACATTTTATATTCGCTTTATATTCACATTAACAAAACAAAGCCGCTCCCTGCCTGATTCAGCATAGTATCCATTAGTATCCAAGGGGCTTACACACACACACATACACACACACACACACACACACCACATCACACACACACATACACACACACAAAATACACACTTACAAAAACAAAGTACACACCCACAAAGAATGGCTCGTTGAATTAAGTTCATTATTCACTATGATGACTATCAAATAAAAAAAGTAATAGCTTTTCAGTTTTTTCCAAGTTTACTCGTAAAAAAAATTTTAACACTGACGTCAGTGATCGTGGCATTGAGCAATATATTATTTTGAATAAAGTGATTTTGCAGTTTCCATGTTTACAAACTTTAAAAATAAGCTTATTTTTTTGAACTGAATCCATGCAAACAAAAGCCTTGTTTAAACTATAACAATGTGCAACATTTTTCAATTCCATTTCAGATATTTTTGTCTGATCAAATTTTGACAAAATATTTTCACCTAACACAAATTATAAAAATTTTCCTTTTTTTTCAAAATTATTTCCATGGCATGACTACGATCCTTCCTGTGCAGTGTATTGTGAGTTTAGAATAAAAATCTTTCCGATTGACAGTTGCTGCTAATCATGTTTAATAATTTTTCTAGACACTTATATCAAATTATTTATTATAGGACAAAAAGTCATCGGTAATTTTGTCAATATTTGGATTTTAGAATTTTTGTTTTAAGGACTTCTTATATGGAGGAACCTTGGGGCACACACACCACACACACGCACGCACACGAACACACACACACACCACACACGCACACACGCACGCAAGCACAAAGAATGGCTTATTAAAGAAGGTAATTTTTACGATAAATCGATAAATAATTACCTAAGACGTGTGTATGTTTTCAAAGAGTTACTTTTTAAAATTTCAAACATTAACATACGTGGTCTTGACATTGAGTAACTTATTATTCATTCGATATAATGATATTGCAGTTTTAACATTTACAAACTTTTAAATGAAGTCTATTTTTTCAAATGAATCACTGCCAACAAAAGCCTTGTTTCAACAATAACAACGTGCTACAATTTTATTAATATATACCATTTCAAACATTTTTGTCAAAATAAGCCCACAAGAATTAATTTTCTTTTTTTGGTCTCCGAATCATTCATACTTTTTGTTTTGTTTGATTGAATAAAAGTGATGTGATTTGATTTGATGAACATAAATTTGAATTTAAATCATTTATTTTTAAATCATTTATTTAACATGAAGCAAAATTTTAAAATTGGCGTCATTTAATTTCATAATAGAAATTATTCATATAATTTATAAAAATTTTCCTTTTTTCAAAATTATTTCCATGGCATGACTTATGATGCGTTTCCAAATTGAATTGGTCTCCTCATCTCGGAAGATGGCATCATTCACTGGAAACGATTTCACCGCTGTGCTTCGAAACTGGGATTAACAGCTTGTTCCCTTCGTAGCAGGCCTTGTTCACTTTCAGTTCATTTGTCGTCTTTGCTATTTCTTTCTCCAAAACATCCAACCAATTTTCGACAAAATCATAAGCGGAATCTAGCTCAGTGTGGTCTAGGCCAAATAAACTGGAATCAATACTCTCTAGATACTTTTCATACTTCTGGGCACTTTCTTTTCTTTCCTCCATCAATGAGAACAGCTGCTCAAAAATGTCTATCATTTCTTCTATGAGAGGTTGCTGTTTTTTCAAACCCTGGACCAGCTACTCGAACATTTTCTGTTTTTCCAGTTTGATATCTAACTCTAAATTTTCCGCTGAATGAACCACTGCTGGGAAATAATGTTAATAATAAACATAGTTGCTCGTGAGAGTGCAATAATAAATTTGCTAAATGTTTAAATTATCTTGCAACGTGAAAAATTCAATTAAATATTCATTAGGCAATACTGATTTTTATAATGTATAATTATTCTCGAATAACGAGTGTTTTTTTAAATAACAAGAGAAACATTTTAGGAACATTAAGTTCTAGTCAAGTTTTTTTTGACTTGAATAGAACTTTAGAAGAAAGTTAAACTATGAAAAAATCTTTACAATGAAAATAGAAATGAAACCGTAGTTAGCGAGAAGAAACATTAGGCTCATGCAGATTTCGGAACGAACACTTCGAAGCCGTCGTTAAAAAAATAACGGCAAACAAGCAGTAACACCACTTGGTGATGTTTTTCCAAATAAACTTATTTAAACAAGAACACTGTTTATTAAGTATCTACACTATTTCTTTATATTTAAAATGAATATATCAGTCGTTATGCCTATATGGTATGCGATTTTTTTTTCAAATTTTAATAAATAAAAAGTGATATATTCTTCTCAAACATCACATCGGTGATTAAATCAATCAGAAAAACTTCAAATACTTGATGTTTATATGTTTCTGCTTCAAGTTATTTTTACATAACATATTTTATACGAATTCAATTATTTTTTCAAAGTTTTTATTTATTTATATATATAAATATGTGTGTGTGTGTCTGTGTGTGTGTGTGTATTTAGATATCCTACTAATGATTTTAGAAACAGAGGAATCACTGATAATGATGGCGCCTGAAGGTGTAATATTTCACAAAGTTGAAGATCTTAATAACTAATTTAATGACCGCTAAGTGTTCCCATTAAATAAACCAATTATTAACATTGCTTCTATAAAATATTTAGCACTAATTATACATTATACCATTTCGCTTCGTCATATTTTCATTTATTTTCAATAAATATATCTAGCAGATTGCACACCGACTGATGTGTTTGACATTTTAAGATGTATTTAATTTAATTTAAGATGTAAATGTTTTATTTAGTTGTTGAGAGTCCAGACGAAAACATTTAATGGCAATCTATAAAACACAAATTAATATTTTTATCTTTTTTTAAATTAAACTTTCGGATTGAAATTTTATTGCAACTCATAAAACAATCATTTATCGAAATATATTTTTTTTCAATAAAACAATTATTTTGCTTTAAAATTAAAATTATATAGGAGAATTAACATGCTTTAGTTTTTAACATTGTAATCATTTATCTGTTATACATAACTCACACCAACAAATATAAAAATGAATTAAAAAAAGCACTTGTATTAAAATGCAAAAAGATTGAATTATTGATAAAAAAGTAAATGATTAATAAACCGAATCCACCAAACAGTCTAGTATGGATCTCATTTAAATCAGGCACGATCGATCAAAGCTGTGATGGTTTAATGGATAAAATTTAAAAAGTATTGTAATAAATTTAAAATATGGCTTGATGCCTGTATGTTAGAAAGACTGGCAAAACGTTTTGTATATGGAAATGTTGCAAATTTTTTATTGTATTGTTTTTTCTTTTTAAGTTGTTTGAAACTGTACAGTTATTTATACTGCTGTTTGGTGTTGTCAAATTTTTTGAAGAGCGTCATTTTTAGTTTATAATTGGATGGGATATCTCAAAATACGCCTATCTTAGAAATTTCCACCGGCTAGCTGCGTCGGAAGTGCGCGAAAATTATAAAACAGAACCTAAAATGACAACGCGACAGAAAAACAAGTACATAAAAGTTATGGAAACATAATGCAGTTCAAATCCAGTCGTCAAAAATGCTTTGATATTTTCGCAGCGTAAAACTGGTAAATATTTTCCTAAATATAGAACGGATTGCACATGCACAATTACAAAATTTCGATACACCTAAGCCAAACTCAGTTCATATAATGAATACAAGTGTATGAGGTTGCTCAAAAATGGAATTCTGTTCTTTTGCAGTCTATTGCTTGTGGCAACTATACTCAACTTTTTAAAAATTTTTAGAAATTTGATTTTAATTTGAACAAATAACCAAAAACTTTTTGTTTTGTTGTATTTAAAAATACGTAAATGATTTAAGTCATTAAGTTTTGAATTTAAAACTGTTTGTGATACGGTGGATCTGTATCAGCCAGACGGCTACTTTGCGATTGAATATCAATTAGAAACCATTTCGCTGCCATGTTTCGCAAATGCGATCAAATGTTTGTTTTCTTCATACCATGCCTCGTCCAACATCAACTGTTCTAGCATCTTACTTTTTTCTTTATCAATAATGTTTAATGCACCTTCAATATACCTAAGGTCTGATTCTAGCTCAACGTTGTTTGGACCGAGTAAGCTTGAATCAATACTGTTCAGATATGCCTGGTGTTTTCTGAAATTTTGAATTCTATTGTCCATCAGTGAAATCAGATAATTGTTGATTTTCATTTTTTCCTCTATTGCAGTTTGCTGTTGTTCCAAAGCTTCGGCCAGCTCTTTGAGCATGTTCTGCTTGTCGGATTTTATATCCATCTCTAAACTCGCGGCAGAATAAACCGCTGTTAAAGAAAAATTTATAATGAATTTAATTCATTTTTAAAATGCAATAAATGTTTCTAATAATTTGCCACAAAATTAAAAAAATTAAATTAATTCTCAAACAATAAATTTTTGTTTTTACGTGATGAGAAATTGTTTGATTAAACGGAAAAAAATTATAGCTAAAAAATCTAGTCAGTATGTATTAAATAACACAACGCTCTCTAGATAGGAAATGAAAACGTAGTTGGAAAAGAGAAACAACAGGCTCAGGCAGAGCTGAATGAGAAACTTCAGAGCCATCGTTGAAAATATTAAGCCGAGCAGCTAACGAATGTAGATACGAATGGTAAAGAAATATATAATATCTTTCACTGTATATTTCTCTATATAAAAATCTATATTTAGACATACATACATATATATATATATATATATATATATATATATATATATAAATACAAAAAATGTATATATGTATGTATATAAAATGAAAAATGTGAGGATTTAGATGGCAATATACAAAAAGATAAAGAAATGATTAATGATACATACATGTTGTGCTGCCAACGAATCTACATGATTAACGTTTCATGTAATGCTGAATTCAATGGTGGACCCAGAGTGAGGGCTAATTGTTTGCGTTTAAATATTTCTTTAGAAAAAAATGTGTTAGCACGTGGAAATATATTTCACTATTTCGAGTATCAAAGTAATTGAACGGTGAAAACGTTGACGTCCAAAATAAAGTAAAATTAAAAAAGAAAAGAAACTTTTTATGTAAAGAAAAGAGATGGAAAACGAAATTTATGCTGCTGAGAAAATTAGTTGGACCTTTCATACCTCCAATGAGGATGTATTAAAACAATCCGGTTCTGAAAAGAGGAATTAACTACAAATAAGCCGACGGGGGCAATTAAAGTTTTTTGGCCACATCATGCGGAAGGAAAGAATGGAAAATCTAACAACTACTGGAAAGATTGCAGGGGAGGGGAATTTAATTTCGCTTGACCCGAACAAAAAATTTGAAAAGCCATGAAATTCGTTAAATCATTCATAATGCAGAATTTAACGCAGTGAAAAATGTGAAAACTGATTGAGTTATAGTGAAAAACAAATGAATAATAAAGCAGCTACGTCAAACAGTCTGGTCGGTCTCAGACATGATTGACAGATTCTGTGATTTAATGAGAAATGTTTTTTCTAATTTGTAATAAATATTGAGAAAATGCTGTCAATGTATCCTAAAGCTGATTCTAGTGCATCTTTGTTCTCTCCGAGTAAACTTGAATCGACACTGTTAAGGTGCTTTCTGAAGTTTTAAATTCTGTTGTCCATCATTGACATTAAATGTTTGTTCTGATTTTGAAAATCAGGAAAAACCAAATTCCGAAAATTAGGAAAAACGAATCGGGCGAATCTTACACCGTTTGGGTGATTGCTTCTGTAACCAAACATTACGATATTAACTAGAGTTGGTTTTGTTAAACTTCATTCAACATTTTTAATGTTTTGAGGAAACTTTCTACCTTATCATAGCATCTTAAAATGCCTTTTTTAAATTTGGCTGAAAAATTGTATAAACGTCTTTTACATTTTTTTAATTTGTACAATTAGAACTTCCAAAACGTCATGATAGAAGAGCTTGATCGTAAACACGAAATTGTTTTCCAAATGTGTAAGCATTGTGTATGGGCCCGACCATATTCATTTGTCACAGAGTTGAATTTATTGTTGAAAATATGGCAGCTATGATGAGACAATTTTTGTAAAAAAAACTTTCAAAGAAAACAAACAAATTTTATTTGATTGCATTTAAAAAAAAGCGTCATCTACTTTCGTAGCTGAAATCGTTTATGGAAACTTACATCCATTTCAATAAATCTTCCACGGCATGGCAATCAAATATTAGTTGGAAACAATTTTACCTCCGTGCTTAACAAAAGAGATTAACATCTTGTTTCCTTCATACCACGCTCTATCAAACTCCAAATCTTTGGACATCTTATCTTTTTCTTCTTTTACCGTAGCCAAACCAACTTTGATGAATCCCAAAGTTGAATTTAGTTGAACGTCCTTTGTATCAAGTAAAGTTGGATTAAAAGTGTTCAGGTAATTTTGGTGCTCTTCAAAATTTTGTATTCTATTGTCCATTAGTGACATCAAACGGCTAGTGACGATCATCTTTTCCTCTATGGCAGTTTGTTGTTCTTCCAAATCCTCGGCTAATTCTTTGTACAGTGCTTCTTTATTATCTTTGATATCTGACTCCATACTTGCATTTAAATGAAACACTGTATTTAAAAAATTGTAGGCAAAATGTATATGTTTCTGTAAATAACAAACAATAGTTTTGATAAAATTTCTATTTTCAACTTATCTTTATTTTCTGATATTATTTTGCCAAAACAAAAGTTACGAAACATATCAACAACACAACTGTGGAACAAAATCGACAACAAATTATGACAAGGCTTATAATAAAAATGTAACCGCAATTGGAAACGAGAAAGAACAGTTTCAGACAGATTTGGAAAGAACCCATGGAGGTCTTTTTTTGAAGAATTAACTGTGTGCGACTTGGAAAACTGATGACGAATATACGATATTCAAATAAATGCGAGCGTTTTAATTGTATACCTAGCTTTTCAAATGTATATTGTTTACGCGTATATGTCGTTGGTGAAAATATTAATGTTCATATGTGCAAACATATCTTCTGGTCATAAATCTTCAAAACTGTATCAAATTTTTGTTAATAAACAAAATAAAACGTGTCCAAACATCTCATTGATCAATCAAAAAAACTTGAAAATATTTGATGGATGTCGTCGTTTTGAATTTTTTAAATACATTTTTTATTATAAACAATTTTTATTCTGTTTAAAAATTGTACACGAATAATGAATTAATTATTATCTTATACCTTTGCCAAATTTCGCGTCAAAATTTTATAGTGTTAACGTTTGTAAAAATTTGCTCAGAATGGAATTCATAAAGCAGACAATGTAAAATTAAATATTCCTACAGTGAACCTTTGTTTGAAAACTTGAACGCAGATGAATAAAAGCAAGAAAATTATTAGTGCTCCTAGATTTACCTCGAATGGTCTGGTACGTATTCAATTTATGATGGACGCGATCAGATAAATTCTCGATTTAATGTTATTTTTTGTCAATAATTTGTAATTTATTTGACAAAAATACGCCCGTTTTTAAAAATAACTCTGACTAAGATTCAACACAAAACAAGTTAAATCGTGAGAGAGAAATTATTTTTCTACTGTTTGATCAATTGGCAATGAGGCGTCCAATTATCATTTGTATTTTCTTGGAGCTTGCCTTCATGGCAGTCGTTTCTGGAATTAAAATAGGTGGGTCGTTTTGATTCCATGTTATATTTAATCGCGTTTTCAAGCACATCCTATTTGGTGCATGAATTCCACAGGTAAAAATCTAGAAATTATTTCAGCGGTATTATTAATTAAATTAAAATGATCGCAACATTAATCACTTCTGATGAAACTATTCTGGTGAAATTATATAAATAAATTAAATTGTTCTATCAAGTTCATCACCATATATTGTACTTGAAAAAATCATATTTATCACGTTTTAGCTCACTTCAACGTTGTCTTGAAGCATGAATTGCAAAACTCTAGATTCCGAATTAAATCGAAATTTCAAATTTTAATAATTTCTCTGCTAGTTTAGTAATGTATAGACTACTCACCCATCATTCCATCAGGTGATGAGAAACAAAAGTCAGAAGAATTCAAAGAGTACGCTGAAAACTTCATTAAAGGAATGAATGATGTACATGAACAAATTGATGATTTGAAAGATGAAAGTAAAAGTGTTGAACTAAATATTTGCTTAATGTAGACAATCATATTGTATTACATAACTATTTTAATCTAAAATTTCATTGTTCAATAATTTTCAATATCTTTTTATAACTTCTAGAAAAGCCCACACAACAAAAAGAAGAAGAGATGCTCGAAATAGCCAAAAATATGGCTGCTTGTTATCAAGATCTTTTTGATCAGAAATAAATTATATTTCTTTTCTAAATGTGCGTTTAAATTTTAAAAGTAAAGTTTTGCCTTTAAAAATTTAACTTATTTTATTGACCCACCCTAGACAAATAATATCTAAAATGACTTCAGGTTGTGTAGATGAACGAGGTAATGAAAAAAAAAATAAATAAAGGAATGGTTGAATAACCAAATGGCATTTTATTTAACACATTTTGTAAAGTTATTTTAGAATTATTTAGACGGTGGGACTCATTCAGTTGTCTGTGTATTATTTCAACTAATTAAGCGAATCCTGATTGATTACTTATTTGTTTCTTCAATCTGGTTGAATTGGTCAACACATCTTCCAGTTTTTACTTAATGTGACATTTTTTTCAAGGATATCACAAAGAAGATGAATTCGATCTTTGAAATATTGGTTAGAATGTGACAATGTATATGGAACAAAAAATGGTCAAAATTAATGGCGTGAATGATCGATTTAAACGTTTAGTTTGAAATGAAACAATTAAAAATAAGGTTGCACAAGGTAGTAAATGCTATTTAAAAGTAATTGAAACAATTTAACCAATGAAACTATTTCCTTTATATCTAATGAATGTTATATATAAACATTTCCAATGATTATTCTAAGTTTGTTAAAATATCAGATGAAATGTTGATTCTACAATTACATTATACATTACGTAAAATGTTTAAATGCATCAACTTAACATATCAGCCATGTCAATTTTATCAAGAAAATTTTTTGAAGATAAGGAAAAGTTTTTACAAGTATGAGATACGGAAAGAATTGGTGAAAAGTAGAAAAGGGTTTTTTTCAACTATCATAAATGTTTGACTTATTATCAGCTGAAACATAATCTAACCTGAACCTATAACATTTGCTATTTCGTTTTTCTTCTAATAGGGTATCATTATCTCTATCATCGCCAACGAAAATAAACTTAAATATGTTTCAAGAAAAATCTTCATAAATAGTCATTGAAAAAATCTTCTAATAGGAATAGGATTCATTAACTCATAAAAGCAAAGTGAAAAATTGGTAAATAAGTAAGAACATTTATGTCAATAAAAATGTAAAAGTTTGAATAATTTTTTAAAATTGTTTTTAAACATATTAACGTTTGATATTATACGGCAAAAATGGAACACGTTATCATGAAAAAAAATAAAATTGACTTAAATGTACACAATTTTATTTATAACTTCAATGATGAATCCCAATCTATTAACAAATTCGCTCAAATATTATTTAAAAATGACAGACCTTTAAAATTGAAATTATAAACAATAAATTGAAAAAACTGTCCATCATTAAAATTTATTTTAAAATAAATTTAATTTTTCCAATTATTTATTTTGCTCAAAAATCAATTATGGTGGAAAATGAAATAAATTTATAATTTCTGAAAAAGGCGAAAAAAGTAGTTAACCATATTACATACATAGATAAAAAAGAAAGGTGTTAGGCAAGGCTGTAGGCTGTATACAAGGCCTAACTCTCCAGACCTGTACAATCTCTATAGTGAGATCATCATGACTATGATAGAAGATCTACTAAGTATATCCGTTGGAGGCGTGAAACAGAGTGCATGGTAATCAGTCAAAGCAAAATCGCTCCGACCTGCTCCATAATCATTAATGGCAAACAGGTGAAACAAGTTAACAGCATCAATTATCTCGGTAGTCTGATTACCTCAGGTTGTAAATGTGATATGGAGATCGAAAGAAGGATAGCTATGGCAAAAGATGAATTTCCTAGAATGAAAAACATCCTTACCAACAGTAAAATCAAAATATCAATAAAAGTAAAACTGTTAGTGTGTTGTATTTTTCCTGTGCTAATTTACGGCTCTGAGTCCTGGACAATTTCTAACGAAATGGAAAAAAATATTAACGCTGCTGAGATGTGGTTTTTGAAGAGAATTATAAAAATTAGTTGAACTGTTCATACTCTATAGGGGGCAGTTAAAGTTTTTTGTTCACATCATGCGGAAGGAAAAAGTGGAAAATCTAACAACTACTAGAAAGATTGCAGGGAAAAAGAAAAGAGATCGCGGTCAACAACGAACAACATTCGTGAAGTCCTTGTTTCACTTGTTTAATAAACCACATTACAACTACTACAAAGTGTTAAAGATCGGGTTTTGTGGAGGTCGATGGTCGACTGAAAGGATAAGGCATGAGAAAGAAGATGAAGAAGATAAAACCATAAAACATTAAGTTGAAAAATTTGAAGCACACCAAATTTTACTTTGTCTAGTTGATCACATTGAACTTTACGCCATTCCAATCAGATATGTTGGTGGCTGAAAACAAATTATAAATTTTTAAAATTTTATCACCCGTGTGTTTGAGAAAATATGTGTTCAAAAATTTATAGAATTCAATGCTTAGTATTTTAATTCTCATCACTTTCACTGTTCGAATTATTCATATTTATTTATCATCAGCCGATCCCATGGTTGGTGATTCTAAAATGAAATTAAAGGTGGACTTGGCATCGAACAATTTCGCGTCTGGAATTTCATTTGCATTTTTTGCAGAGATGCAACGAGTAGTAGAATTGAATACCCAAATAGCTGATCAGCTGTTCAGCCGAAACTGAAGTCCAAATACAAAATCCCACAATTATAGACATAATTATATTTTTTAGAATGAAAAATAAGTTGTTAAATAAAAAAGTAGAAAATTCATGTCTATTCAACAATTCTTTGTCTTGAAAAAACTCGATCTTTTGTTCAAGTTCCGATGTTTTATGTTTTAAGTGCTATGATGGTCAAAAAAAATTTTCCGCTGATATTAATCAACAGTTGTTTTTCTGGAACCCAAAAAGTGACGTGTTAAACGGAAGTTGCAATATTTGGCTATTCGGCCTTTAAAAATAGCCTTAATAAAAATCAGAGTTGAGTATCAAATTTCGGTGAGACATTCGGCCGGGTCCAAAATTCGGTGCGTCTGTCTTTTGTAGCCAATTTGTGGTAATGCAATAAATGATGTTTAACCATTATGCAATCATTAATCTTTAGAATTTTGTTTACAAAATATGTTAGTTATTTTATGCTTATTTTTGTTTATAAATGAGAGTTAACTTGAAATTAATAGTTGTTACAAACCCATATTGTAAATAAGAAACTGCTTTGAGAGAGAAACATTGGAGTTATCAACATAAGAAAGCGTCTTCTCATATGCGCCCTGTTGCCAAACGAAAATCCATTTCCCTCTATACTGCACAGCCGAAATATCCAGATTAACACTTTTCAAATAGGGAACTATTTGATTTATGTTGGTATAGGGTTCGTCGCATGTTCGACAAACAACAACAGTTCCATTGGCTGTGTTCTGATTGGATTGGATGTTTGTAGTTGATGACAGTGATGCTATTGTTGTAGACATACTGATGTTAACAATGATACAAATCAGCAAAATAAAGTTAGAAAAAAAACATTATACTTATTGTTAAATGATTTGTAACAGCCACGATGTTCATAAAACAAGTCGGTAAAATAATACCTTTTTAAAATAAGGGGCGAATTATAATAAAATAACTGGCGTTGCTACAAGAATTTGTAGACAGTGTGGTCAATAAGCTTAATTATAAAATTTAATTATAACCAGATTAAATAAAAGCTTACCATCAAATAGTTTTTTATCTTAAAAACATTGCCGGCGTTATCCAATAAATCGTAACTCTGTGAGTCGTACACAGCGCGACTCTGCATGTCCAACTTGTATAGATTCACTCCTCGCTTCTTAGGAGGACAATCGAATTCTTTTAAATTCAAAGAATCTTTGAATCCCCACGACAAGACATCAACGATCTTATATTCTGAAAATATTTCACGTTAAAATGTATTTCCCGATTTATACATGCTGCAGTATTTCAACATTTTAGACACTCACTACTAGCACCCATGAACAAGGAGCAGTCATCATCTGGAGAGGGTTTGTAAATATTATGAATAAAATCATTGAAAGAGTAGCAGCGTACATCGTATGCGTTTCCATCATTTATAGACTTCATCACGTTCACTTGAAAGGCGAAACAGGCTCCATTCAGCGTTTGACACTGGATGGCGCACATCCTAGCGTATAAACTCTCGCGGACTTGGCTTGATTGCAGACGATTCTTGTTAAGAATTAAACTTGCATTCGAAGGATCGGCGCACAAAGGTGCAGTTTTCAGCCTCAGTTTATCATACAACCTCTTTTGAGATGCTGATGACGATAATAGTGATATCGTTGCTGCTTGAACTACCAAGATCATCATGAGAGTTGAACTCCAGTTTTTAAACTTCATCTTTCTGTTGATTTCTGCTGCTTGATCGCTCCGATGTGGAATATTTAACTCAGACGAGGGAATGAAAATTCATTAGAAATTTGAAATTGATATACTTATAGAAATTTATACATGGAAACCAAAAAAATGTGCATTTAACAGAAGCCATTCACGTCACAGCAAACACACACAATTGCCATACAAAATAATTTAACATTATGCAATTAGGTTCATTCAACACAAATTTTTGGGTTATTTATTATTTGGCGCGGCCGGCTATTGTCATAAAACTGCCTATATTGTTGGATGTATGCAGAAACTTATTCGGAAAAACTACCGAGTTTTTACATTTTCGTGTGAAGGTTTTTGTTTTAAAGCTTACTCCATTGTCCTGTTTGGTAGATGCAATAGCAATAATAGTTAAATAGCAAAACCGACATTCAGCACCGCCAACTTTTAAAATAATTACGTTGCTCGTTGTTTCGAAGTTTCAACTATTTGCAACTCACGTATGCTTGTTGTTAACAAGACAAAAAAATTCATTATTACTGACGATGATAACAACTGATGACGACGATAGGGTTGATTTCGATGATCATGTTAACGGAAAATTTAATAACAATATTATACAGTTTATACAATAATTCGGCTTCAAAAAAAATCAAAGATGAAGGTGATGTAAGAAACCTTGAAATGATTCATCGGCTATAACCACATTAACAATAAATTGCATAATAATATATATAATTAATTATAATTAATATGCTCACAAAAAGTACATAATTATTAGTATAGTTGTTAGTATGCGAACGAAATTTAACTAAATTAAAAGTTATTGTTCAATGCGAGTCACTTACTTACTCTTAGTACTTATTTAAGTACATATGCGGCCCTGACAGCAAACAGTTTCTAATATGTTTTCAATAGTCAAACCGCAGGTTTTAGTTTTATAACACGTTGAATGATCCATTTGAAACCTACAATACACTACAACTTGCAAGTTTGAAGAGATCACGCAATGATGTAACGTAACATAACACAACATAAATGGAAAATAACGAGACGCTATTTGGAAATTGAAAATAAAGGGAATACTTTTTGAATATAAGAATAATTACCAGCTGCACAGCGTCAAATCCCATCCTTTTTTAAATCCAAATAGTCGTTTAAACTACTCTACATTTTATAATATATTTTTTTAATCCATTTTATTCACAAGTTGTTTTAAAAGTTAATGTTATTTAAACATAACATTCAACAATGTTGAATGAATGTTATGTTTTAATTCAAAAAATTGAATAAATATTTTATTCTTAAAAGACTTATTCATATGTTTTAAAGAAAATTTTTGAGTACACTTTCATCAACCTAAGTAACAAAAATTCAGCAGTAGCATTAATGATTCTATGGACCGTAAAAATGTATAATCGAGGTTTTACCTGTGCGTGCGAGCAACAAAGTTACATTATTTAGTCAGATATAAATCGGTGGATTCGACCAGATGAATATTTTCGCTGAGTGTATTCGCTGGATCCGAACAGTGAAAATCACTACAATGGTGTATGTGTGTATTTTGGCGCTTTAAGTCGATCGAACGCAATTAGCAGCAAATGTTTTGGTGCATATGTGTTTTCTAGATAATGAAAACTAAACAGTACATGATTTTTTAATAATATCTACGTCAACATTTTATTTCACATAAAAATTTTTTTTAGGTGTTTTACCTGTTGTTAGTTTCAAATATACTATATAAAGCCCTTTCTCTTTGATTATCATTAAACGCCAACATTTTTTAGTTTTAGCAAAAAATTAGAAAAAAAAATTTAATAGTTGACAAAATAATTTAACAGTTGTCAAAATACATTTTTGAAATTTAATTTTTATATTAAAGCAACCTAGATGCTTCAAAACTATCAAATTGTTATTTGATAGCTTGTTGAGTTTTTTTAATGGTAGATTTGTTGATAGATATCTGAAAGTTGTTTGTTGATAAATATAGTCCGTGAAAAATTTCAATCATTAAGGAAACCTAAAATTCTTTAAAAATGGAATTATAAAAACCGCTGATTTTTACAGAACAAAAAATGTATCGAATATTGAAAGCCGAACTTCTGAAGTATGGAGAGAATACATCAGTTCGTGGGATTCCAAAGTTTTTAAAATCTAAAGAAATCTTCTTGAAACTACTTTGGCTGCTTTTTTTTCTATTTTCAACAGGTTTTCTGACCTACATGCTGGTTAATTTATTCACGAGTTATTATTCCTATCCAATTATAACCATGTCTGGAGAAAAAGTACGTTTTGTTTCATTGCAATTCCTCATTCAAATATCATCTACACGTAGGCTATATTTGCATTTGGTTAACGCCACGATATATTTTCTATTGATTTTTGAGTGTTTGTTTATTTTAATTTTTTATTCGGTATTAAAATGGTAAACCCCAAACTGTTTAACCATGGCGTCATTTGAAACTTTCAACATTGTTGATTCAAATGTCAATGATTGTAGATACTATAGTTATGATAATTTTATAAATCAATTTTGTTTCAATAGTAATTTTAAAATTAACTCTTTTTCTTTTCTACATCTAAATTGTCGGAGTGTTGCTAATAAACTGTCAGATTTACAAATTTTGATTAAATCATTTTCTAACATATTTCATTTCATTATTGTTTTTGAAACCTGGTTAAATGACGTTACATGTAAATTAGTTAATATTGATTCCTACAATTTTGCTTGTAAAAATAGAACAGGCGGAATTGGAGGAGGTGTAGGTATTTTTATTAGAAAAGACATTCCTTTTGTAACTAATTTAATATCGATATTTGATGATGATCTTTCAGATAGTTTATGTATTAATGTTACTTGCAACTATTTTAAGGGTACAATTTTAGCCATATATCGATCTCCTGCTTCTTCCTTCGATGCTTTTTTAAGACATCTGGAATGTATTTTGGATAAGCTTAAACCTACAACGGATATTTACCTTGTTGGTGACATCAATGTTGACCTATCTAAATGCACTACTCAAAGTATGGCAATTAAAAATTTACTAGCAACTTACAATATTTTCTCGACGATTGAATTACCTACACGAGTAACAAATACATCAGCCACTCTAATTGACCACATCTTTAGTAATAGTTCTTTACCACATACAGCTGGTATTCTTTTATCTGATTTTTCGGACCATTATCCAATATTTTCATTCTTCAATAGCACAAATTTGTCCTCTCAGCCACCTGGTATCTTAGGTACTCGTCATTTCACTACTAAAACTTTTGACATTATCAATAAAATTTTATCCATGACCAAATGGGATGATGTACTTGGATCTGAAAACGTTGAGGTATCCTGTCTGTCTTTCTATAATCACTTTAACTCTATAATTGATAGATATGCTCCAATCAAGGTAATTAACAACAACAAGCACAAAGGATGGATTACCAGGGACATCATAAAAGCCTCTAGAATAAAAAATAAACTATTTAAAAAATGTATTTTGAATCCCACACCTTCTAATCTAAAGATATATAAATACCACCGCAATCGTTTCACTAGTGTTGTAAGAAAGGCTGAGCGTAATTATTATAGTAATATATTTTCTAACAATGACTCAAAATTTAAATGGAAATTCATTAATTCGTTGCTTAATAATGCCTCTTCTCATAATATTTCTCAATTAATGATTGATGATAACGTTGTTACTAACAATTTGACAATTTCTAATGAATTCAATAATTACTTTATTGAAAGCTTACTTTCTATCGATGATAATTACAATTCTTGTGATAATTCTTTCTTGTCTGGTAATAGCTCTAATTCTTTTTATATTTATAGTGTTAATGAATCTGAAATTTTAGATGTGGTTGGTAATATGAAAAATACAAAATCCTTATCTGATGATGAACTCAGCAACTATATAATTAAAAACTGCATTTACAATATTACTAAACCTCTTGCCTATATATTTAACTTATCATTTAAACAAGGTGTCTTCCCCACTGTATTTAAAACTGCTCGTGTTATTCCTATATATAAAAAAGGTGACAAACGTTGTGTAAACAACTACCGGCCCATATCTTTATTATCTTCATTGTCCAAGATATTAGAAAAACTCATGTATATTCGAATGCACAAATTTATAACAACTTTTCATCTCCTATCGGAAAACCAATTTGGCTTCCGATCTGGCAGATCAACTGAATTAGCCAATCTTCAGTTTGCACATAACACCCTTATGAATGATGGACTTCTTACAATTGGCGTGTTTATTGATCTCAGTAAAGCTTTTGATCTCATTGATCGCACTCTTCTATTACGTAAACTTGAAGCGCTTGGCTTTCGTGGTAAATCTCACTCTTGGTTTATGTCTTATTTACTCAATAGATACCAGTATGTAAGAGTTAATGATGTCAATTCCCATAAAATCTTGGTACCTAAAGGTGTCCCACAAGGGTCTATTCTTGGACCCTTGCTTTTTATATTGTTTATTAATGATTTGTTCTCTATTAAAACCATATTCAAAATTCTTCTTTATGCTGATGATGCTAGCTTTTTCTATTCAACTAAATCACCTCTGAAGGATTCTGACTTACTTAATTATAACCTAAAACTTATTACTAACTGGTTTTATACCAATAAACTAAAAATTAATTATCAAAAATGTAATTATATGATTATTGGTCCGAAGATCCTTAACAATACTTTTGGTCCCTTAAATCTTCATTTGAATAACCATTTAATGGAGAGGTCTTACAATACAAAATTTTTGGGTTTAATTATCTCAGATAATTTATCTTGGGCTGAACATATTAATACTATTTCTTCTAAATTAAGCAAAATTTTAGGTCTTCTTTATAAAATAAGATACAAACTTAATAAAACTACTTTAATATTGTTGTACAATGCATTTGTTTTTCCTCATCTATCATATTGTAATCTTATCTGGGGCAATAGCCCTGCTGTTCATGTCTCAAAACTATATAGAATTCAAAAAAAATTTATAAAACTATTATTATATTTAAAAATTACCACTCATGTTGATGAATATTTTTCTTCTTTAGGTCTTCTTACAATATACAAATTACATATTTTTATTGTTGCCTTTTTCATGTTCAAATTTGTCAATAATCTGCTACCATCTAATTTCTCAAATATTTTTTCACTCAAACCTTCACATATTTTTAAATCTACTCGTCACTTCATTCCATATATAATACCATTCAGTAGACTAAAAATTTTAAATGATAGCATATTTATTCTTGCACCCAAAATTTGGTTTACAATTTTGCCTCTATCTGTTACAATTATTTCAAAACCTCGTCTTTTTAAACAACATTGTAAAACTTATTTATTGTCTGATAAACGGCGATTTTTGCGACTATAGTTGTTTTAACCTTATTTAAATCTTATTTGAATAATTTTTGTATATGAGTAATATCAATGATCTGAATAAAACTGTTTTTGTATGTATGTATGTATGTATGTATGTATGTATGTATGTATGTATGTATGTATGTATGTATGTATGTATGTATGTATGAATGTATGTATGTATGAATGTATGTATGTATGAATGTATGTATGTATGCATGTATGTATGTATATATGTGCGTATGTGGGTATGTATATATGTATGTACTCTTATTTTTGAACTATATTTGGTTTCATATCATTTAATTTATTGAAATGCTATAGAATCCTAAATTCAAAACTTTAATTTTATGTACTCATTTTGAACTATATCTCTGTTTCATAAGATTAATAGAATAGAATCTGCAGTTCAATAACTTTTGATTTATTTCGATCTAGTTTAATCCTTGATTTTTGTCGAACTATTTTAATTTTTGATTTTTGCTGATCAATGTTGATTTTATTTGGATAGGGTGACTTTCTTACAAGCATTTGGTTGCTTTTTTAGTTTACCCCTCTTTTGAGAAAATAAACGAATTGAATTGAATTAAATAAATTTGGTTTTATGATATATTACATCTCATGTTGACAGTATATATAGAATAAAACATATAGGTCTTTACGTTATAACAAGCCTCCATGAGTTGTAAGGAACAATTGGCATATTGCGGCTTAAGAGGTAATTAGCATATTTTCGCAAAGGGTAATTAGCATAAGAATATGTTCCATTTAGCTATTGGAATCCATCACTGATACACCTTCCATTGTTATTTTTTTTGTTAAAGCAATTTTTATTTAACTGTTGACCATAATCTTAAATAAAATCCAAATAAAAAAATAAACATATTATACAGACTGGTCAAAACATAACGTTCCCTGACATCACGATATGCAACTTGGATCCATTTAGCGAGGGAGAACCAAATGAATTATCCATGGAAAATTATTTATCGCTGGTGAAAAAATATAAGACCGAGTGGCTAAATCGAATTCATTCAAACAATTTTCCAGATGGTCTGAAATCAGTTGAAAATATTGAAGATAAAGTCAAAAAAATTTTCGATGATCTTTTAACAGTTTCAGGTTATTTGATCAATTTAAATAAAGATCGGCCAAAATCGGAAGACTGTCCTAATTTAGTCGTTGATTGTAGTTTTTTCGGCACTGATTGGTTTGAAACCAACGACTCGTGTTCAACTGAAACTTTTACCAGGCTTTGGAATGCTAACTATTTGAATTGTTACACTCTGCAAATGAGCAATATAAACATATCCAATAAAAATGTCATCAGAGGAATAAGTTTATTGTTAAATGTTGGTCCACCAAACTTCATTAACGTTCCGTACCAATTTTCACTGACTAAATCCCAAGCAAGAGGTGTCCAGGTGAGTGTGCACAGTTCCGGGACTCCCGCTGATCTCAAACGAGGATTCAACGTGGCACCTGGAACTGAAAATATCGTAGAAATTGTCCAAACGGAAAGAAAGCGCATAGATAAACCACACAACAAGTTGGTTTAAAATTTTTCAAAAAAAAACTTATAATGTAATTCTAAAATATTATTTCAGGTTGGGTTGCACTTTAAAAAAAACTTTGGAAAGCTCAAATTCTACTAAATACACGCAGGATTTGTGCGTGGAATACTGTGAACAAAAATTGTCAAAGCAAAATTCCAATTGCGTTTCACATCTGCTGAATGTGCCTGTCGAGGAATATAACACTGTTGTTTGTGGCAATTTGAGTTATGTTTTTTCATTGAACGAATCTTCGATTGATTTGATAAACGAGGAGTCAACGAATAACATTATATTTTCTCAGTTAGTTGCTAAATATGGATTGAAAGGTAAGTGCTTGGGTATAGTGAGTAATTGCAAAAATTTTGAATGATTTATTCATTTCAAAATTTCCTTCTGCTACAGCTATTTTTGAAGATGATGATGACAGTTGTGCTGACCAATGCCTAGTTCCTTGCCAAGAAATAATCTACGACACGCAGCTGACATCAGCAACCTGGCCACAACCCTCAGTAGAACTGGATTTGTTTCAAAAATATTTCATTGACAATGAATGTATGGATAATGTCAAGGTCAAATCAAGATACATAAACTACTACAACACAATTAAGCAAGTTGGGAATGTTCCACTTTCAAATTTAACACAAATAGGTGAATCAATGCTTGAAATCAAATTCATCATGCCACAAAACTGTCCATACTTCCTAGCCGACACACCGGCATACACGAGTGACATGATGATCGGATCAGCGGGAGGTATGTTGTCACTCTGGCTGGGAATAACAATAGCAAGTGGTGTGGAGTTTGTGGAAATGGTTTATTTGCTGATCAAACGTTTTTGGGAGGATAAAAATATCCAAAGTACAAATGAAGAAAAGGGCACTGGAATATCTGACAGGAATAAGAGCAAAAATGTCATTTCTACCGATATATCCACATAGAAATAACTCACTGTCATAATTATATAGGATAAAATTATGTAATACTTCAATGTATCATTATATAATTTTGTGTGATTTGAAATAAATTTATTTGAACTTGGTTTGCCGTGCTCAACTTTACACGTTGGTCAAAGCACCTATATAAATTTCATTACATGCACCAAATCAACCATATAAATTTTAATGTTTGAATTTTACCTATTTTAATAAAGTTTTTTTACAAATGTTTTTGTGTCGAGATTATACAAGTTTGAAACTTATGAAATGTGTATGAACATGGCGAAAGCTCAAAATCATTTCTTTTTCTAATCGAGTTGTTACCGAGGAACAAAACATAGATATATTTTAATAGGAAAATTGGTTTACTCAAGTATTATTATTGTTGTTTATTAATTATTTCTATTATGATTGTTATTTCAAGATTTTCGGTTTTCGTCACGCTGCTCCGTATGTCTGGAATGCGTTACCTCCTAAGTTAAGACAATGTTCCTCGTTGAGTCTTTTCAAAAAGTAAGGGTAAAGTAAGTAAGTAAGGGATTAAAGACTCATCTTTTTAACACGGGCTTCGGGCGCCTCTGAAGCAGCTGTGCAAATGGGCGCTTCATAAATGTTTATATTATTTTTATTATTATTAAAAATAAAAACAATGATTACTATTATCTAACTTTCACCAGCCGAGTCAAGATGATAATTATTTGAAAATATTTTCAAACTTTTAAACAATTTGTTCAAATCGGCATTAGTGTTTGCAAAATTAGGATTAAGACCGCCGTATATATACAATACAATTATTAAGAAATATTACTTCTATCACTGCATTTTCAACTTTTAAAATGCAGTGATATTTTTTTAACAATCATTTATATGTGTATGTATGCGTGTGTGTGTGTGTGTGTATGTTGTGTGTGTGTGTGTGTGAGAGAGAGAGAGAGAAAGAGAGGAGAGAGAGAGAGAGAGAAAGTGTGTGTATATGTAGTATGCGTATGCGAATCAGTGTGTCCGAGTGTATGTGTATAAAAATGACTAAATATCATTTGCCAAGCTGAACAATACAGCATAATGTTACATTATGAATAGCTTTTTATATTGGGAGCTACATAGCTCACCACAAAGAAATTGAGGAATATAAAACCATGGGAGGAAGAGCCACATTTAAGATTAAAAATTTGAGTCGAACTAATTTTTTTTCTCAAGTTTTTCTATAAGAACGCAACGGTTATAATAATGTCAGTTAATAAGATATTTCTGATTTTTCTGATGTTTTCAGGTAAAATATTTTTTTTCAACTAAATTTATCTTAACACCAACGCGAAAAATTCAACAAAAATTAGATCAATATTTTATTGTATCCAAAAAAATTTAACTAGCACTACCATATTAAATACACATTATAAATAAAAATAAATTAAACAAAGCTAATGAAACACAGAGGCAGAGAGAATTACTTATTCAATAGTGTCGCAAATACTTGGAACTCATTACCAAAGGAACTTGTCGAGGCGCAATCAATGAACGAATTTAAAGCAGGCATTGATCGTTGGATGAATCAGCTGTGCTAGCATGCCTGACAGCATGCTCTCTGGATAACCTCCAGAACAGCATTACCACTACTACTAATAATTGTTTTATTAAGTATAATCTGACACACATACCACCTGCCTATACTCCGAATTGCAAATAAACTAAACTACTAAGGATGAAATTGATTTGATTGAATTCTACTGGAAAATTTGATCTGACTTAATGTGATTTTTTTCAAATGCACACAGCTTACAGCCTGGCAGATAAGACAGACGGTGTTATATTTGTTAACGTTGGCACGTATGTCAGTCTGTCAGATGTTCTCTGCACTAGTAACTTCTGGTCTCAAAGTGAATTTCAACCGGCCCCAGCCATTCCAAACCAACCAGGCCCTGCAGTACCAAACCAATCAGCACCTACTGTCAAAACCTCCAAACAAAATTTCACTGCTACTCAGCAGCTAGCTGGATTGTACACGTGCCAAACATCTTACGGAACTACGGTCGGGAAATTTGTCGTAGTGATAGGTAAACTTTGAAATTTTAAATTGTTTGAAAAGTTTTTTTAATGCTGTGTTTGGATGTGAAACTTTATAAGTAATACTTATGAATCTACCAGTAAGAGACTGTGGTATGTATTTCTTTGTTATTTGGAAACGTTTTAAAAGTTTGATTTAACTGCCAAAATATGAGGATAGCAGTTAATTTTTGTAAATTTGCTACTAACTTTTATTATTTGAAAGCAAATTTGATACGTTCCGTTGGTGTCAAATTTATCTATTAACAACAACATTTTCCGCACATGCAAAGACAAAGACTTCGAAATGACAGTTAGCCCGAACCCGATTTACAACGGCCAGGACATGACAGTCAACATTGTTGGCAGATATTACATGGGAAGCCAGGTAAAACCTAACACGATCACATTGTACAATGGAGATGTCTCATTTGGCACATATGACTCTGTTTTATCAGCAAACTTGACAGCGTTTAACGTCATTAAAACTATTAGTGCAAACTACGGTGATCAATATGATTTGAAATACGTTTGGTCGTTCACCAGGGGGACATATATATCGTTTGAAAAGACTTATAATTATGGCAAACCAGTCCAAATTCTTAGTAAGTTATTTCTTAAATTTATAACTTTTTGGTTTGAATTATTTCTTCTACTACTTCTACTACTTTTACTGCTGCTGCTTCTACCATGCAACTACAAGTATTGACCACTACTACTGCTGCAGTTGCTGCTACTACAACCACTGCTAATTTGATAAAATACCATGCTACACAGAGCCAGAATTACCAGAAGTATCATTCCAAACTACCCAAACATGTCGGAATCGATCTATATCTTGTGGCACTGCTGGACAACCACAGCCTAATCAATATACGATCACCTGTTCTCAGCAAGATGACAACGACGATAATGATTTTTCATCATCATCTTCTATTATAACCTTCGAAAAAAGCGGAATTTTCAACTGCATCTGTAAAGTTTCCTACCTTATCTACGGCAAAATATATGAATCTGCGAGCAAAGGCACGATCACTGTTGATGCCAATTGTGAGTCTTACTGTGTTTTGCTGTGTTAACACACACAAAAACGTCACACACACGCATTCATACTCAAACACATTATAGACGCACCGATGGTTCGGCCTGGCTTAATATTTAGCCGAAATTTGACATTCGGCTTCGGCCATTTTCAGACCAAATGGCGGTACCATCACATATTTGAATTCCTAAACAATAATTGATGACTGATAGTAGCGGAAAGTATTTGGCCATCATAGCTGCTGAACAGTGGCGGATCTAGACAACTTTGACGAGTAGTGCAGCTTTGTAGTGGTGTAACTAGTGTAGCTTATGAACTTTTTTTGCTTATCAGGTTCAATTTTTGGTCGATTTTTTATATAAAACGGTCCAATTTCTGATTTTTATTAAAAGATTGTTCACAACGGGAGGGACAGGGCCTCTCTCGGCTCCTCCCTTCTGGTGAAACATCTGAATTCGAACAAGAGATTGACTATTATTTCGAATAAAAATGGCCGGAAAAACTATTTTATTAAATTAAAATGTTTTTCATTCTAAGAAATTAATCTTTTAAACGGCAGGTATTTTTGTATTTGGCCGAACGGTGGAACAACTATTCGGCCAAACTCACTATTTGGTACACCTCTTATATACACGCACATGCACATAAAAAAACACAAACACGCTCACACACACAGGCATACATACACACAGAAAGATACATACGCGCACACAAATTTTCGCTCGTATTCAAAGACAACCAATCACCTCTCACACTCAGACACACCACACACACGCACACACACACACACACACACACACACACACACTCAGATACACTACACAGATACACCACACAGACACACACATACATACACACATGCATTTAAGTTTAATTGTATTGATTCACCTACATACACACACACACACACTCACAATCATACATACATACATAAATATAAAAATATTGAAGATGATAACAATAGAAACAATAATAATAATAATAATAATAATAATAATAATAATAATAATAATAATAATAAGAAAATAATAATAAATAATAAAATTGTTATTATTAATAATAATAATAACCACGTTTCTAAAGGTAACACGAATCCTGTGCTGAATGAAGGTTAAAATTCTTAATTACAATTAAAACGCACTACTACTACTAATACTACTATTACTAATGCTGCCATTGCTGCTACTACTATCACTACTGCTACCACCACTACTAATACTACTACTACAAATACTACTACCGCCACTACAAAAATAGTAGTAGTAGTATTATTATTAGTACTATTAATATCACTACTAATACTATTACTACTACTGCTACGACAACAACAACTACTACTACTACTGCTGCTACAACAACAACAACTACTACTACTGCTACAACTACTAAACTACTACTATTACTACTACTGCTACAACAACAACTACTACTACTATTACTACCACTACTAATATCATCGTCATCATTATCATCGCAATCATTCTTAAGATTATAATTTTTATTATTATAAAAGTTATTATTAATAAAGTAGTGATTTAGTTTAGTAGTTTAAGCCAGGATTCAACTGCAAAACAAATCACGTTCAATATATGTGAAGCGTTGTTTCTCATGTGTATTTACCCGCACCTTACGTTTGTTGCTGATGCTTCTGATAAATATTGAACAGGGAAGAAATTTTATATAGAGATACATCATTAAAGAGAGTTGCCCAATTCGCGTTAATAACTTATTCATGAATTTTTTTCATTTTTTCAACCTCAACACCTCGAAGTTGTTGTAATTCGTATTTATTAATAGTTGCTTCTGTCATGATTAGGCTAACGACGAGGCTTCGCCTGAATTACCATCCTCAGAGCCTAGACTAATAGATATTATTGTAAATTTGTTTAAAATCAAGATAGCAATAATAAAATAAACATTA